TTATGTGAGAGAGAGGGGGGAGGGAAGGGAGATAGAGATAGGCTCCTGAAAGATCAGCAGCCGTGCATGCGGTAGTGGGAGGCAGGGAGGGAGAGAGAGAGAGAGAGATTGCATTAGTCAGTTGCCTACACCATGAATGCATCACCCATCATAGTTGTTTTTGCGAGCGAAGCTGCAACAGGTCATCTAGTCTGATTTAGAATTGCAAATTTGCAATATAAGTGCAATCAGCAATATAATAATATAATAATGTGCTCTCTTTCATTGATGGTTGCAACTTGCAACAGTCAATGTCCCTGTGCAATTTAACTGGATGCAACCGCACACTCTTCAATTGATATGACTCGTCTATCTTTTTTCTGTGTTAATGAAAACAATGGGGTGGTGAATAATTACTAATAAGTCATGAGCTGCACCTGGGTGGCCTTTCGGGGCAAGGGGGCTGGTTGTCAAGAGGGGAGGTGGTGACATCTGGGTACCAAAGTGAGTCTCTCCAGCGCACATCGTCTTTTGATCCCCTTTCTGACCCTTCCTCCCATACTCAAAGGATGAGGTTGGCTGTCTGGCTAGGGGTCGCAACCAGATCCAATTTGTCCTCTCTCTTCTGTTCTATGCTTTACCAAAGGGAGTCTCTCGGTCGCACATCGCCTGTTGATTGCCCTTTATGACCCGTCCTCCCATACTCAACAGGATCAGGTTGGCTGTCTGACTAGGGGTCGCAACCCGATTCAATTTGTCCTCCCTCTTCTGGTCTATGCTTTACCAAAGGAAGTCTCTCGTCTGCATATCGCCTGTTGCTTGCCCTTTATGACCCGACCTCCCATACTCAAAAGGACGAGGTTCGCTGTCTGACTAGGGAGCGCAACCAGATCCTTTTTGTCCTCTCTCTTCTGTTCTATGCTTCTTGTGGATAAGCGACTGGACTGCCGCCTCCCTGAATAGATGGTGCTTGTGTGAGCGTGTTTTGTCAAAAGAGAAAAAGAAAACAGACATCAGGGCTCCAAATTTTCCATAGACAGAATTTGCAAGCTATGTTTAACGGGCAATGTTAACCTTGTTGTCTTTTTTTTGTTTGGCCTTTGATGCCCTTTTGTATGGGTGTAGCTGGTGTGTTCCTTTGAAGGTGGAGGGGGAGAATCTTTCAAGCCTCCCGAAAAACCAGCACTGGAAACGCCCAACCTGCGCAACTTTCACCAGACAGAAATTCAAGAGCAAATGATCAAAGACTTTCTGACAGCCAAGCAGGGAAGGTGAGTGATCCAAGTCCCAAAGTGTTCCTTTAGAATTCGATGAACTGCGATATGTTTGCTATGGTGCACAGCTCGTCAGAATGCTTGCAGCTTTGCATCGAGATGCACAGGTAATATATCTGTACATTAAATTGTCTGGAGTATTGGTGCAGCACGGCGTACCTAGTCTGTGGCAGAGGTCAGGTGCGACACCATGTGACATTGTTTTTTGCATGGATTGAGGGAAAGGGAAGTTATTGAAATAAGTGGGCCCAGGTTGTTGATGAATGTATCTTATCCTTGCTTAGGGACCTTCAAATTATTTCATTGGAAGTCTGATGAGAGGACACACCGTCATGCAGCTCGCCCCCCAAAACCTTAGACTACTTCCTTTTTTTTTTTTTTTTTTTTTTTGGACCATTTCTCGATATATGCGTGTCATCCTTGCGCAGGGGCCATGCTAATCTTCTCTGTATCATTCCAATTTTAACGGATGCCCCGAAGGACTAGTTCTTTTTGTGCTTGCCGTCAAAACACAGTTCTTGCATTCCCAAGGGGTTGCAAAAGATGGGAACTCGGGGCATAATCACACGAGGACTTTTCTAAATGTATCTGACTGCAATTGTGGCCAGACCCAGATGAATCTGACTGCAATTGTGGCCACAGCTTAGAGCAAAAGGTCCTAGTGTGAGTGTGCCCTATGACTGTTCCCAAGAATTCAAAAGGCGCGAAATCGCGCACGTGGTTAGGATATGTGGCGCGAAATCATGCAACATTCAAAGGATTGACATCTTTATCTTTGTACCAGCAAGTGACAGAGCTTTCTGGATGTTGAGGTTTTATGTAAGTTGCGCTCTAAGTCGAGTCTGAAATTGTGTATGACTTGTCATCTTGAATCTGCCAGTGTGAGTGACGAAACATGGATGCTCGTCTCCTAACGACATTCTCCCTATCGTTAATACAGACAAGAAGATGTGTGCGAAGAGACAATCAGCAAGACGAGAGTCCTGGCCCAGTTTTCCTTTTCCAGCCAGACAAACGAATATGGGCATAGCTAACGATAGAATGAAAGGATCGAGTAAAAGGGTACACAGCAGCAGTGCAAAAGTCATGCAAGAACCTGACACTGCGGACAGTCAATCCTTCCAAAGGGAAGTGCTCAATCAGGATCACGCCGGATACAGCAGCCAGCAGAGTATTGTTAAAAACAGGGGTAGACGGGGATGACTTGCGGCTAGGGGTAAATAAAGAATAAGAATTGCAATCAGACTCGCTCTCATTCACACTTCTCATGCATGCAAACAGGTGCGCAGCAAACTGGCGACGAGTGCCCACTCAAAACTCAGAGATATGGTAGCCGAGAACACAGTTCAGATACAAGGTCACTTCAATGGCTATGGCGACACAGCACCCACTCAACTCTCTGTTCGCACACAGAATCAATCGTCGGAGTATTATTGATTCTTCAGCGTATTTTACGCTTCAATGGGAAAGCAATCAACGCAAGAAATTAGAGAAAGAATCTGAAAGATATAAGAAATTAGAGAAAGAATCTGAAAGATACAAGAAATTAGAGAAAGAATCTGAAAGATACAAGAAATTAGAGAAAGAGTCTGAAAGATTCCCCAAGGCAATATTGGGCTCAGGCAAAATAAGGAGAAATAAGTGAAGGAGGGGTAAATTTCAACTGGGCATGCCGGTCTCTGGCGCCATCAGTCTCGACCCAGCATAAAAGCTTGCCGACGCCAAAGAAAGTGTGGGATGGAGGACAAGGAAGAGGTGAGACATCGACGACGGCAAGAGCGGCAACGCCCGGCTGGACCAACAAGGCGTCAAGGACCCCACCTAGACAGCACAGATCCATTGGGCCTCGAAGTGAGACCAGTCGGTCAGCCACAGGCAGCAGGGAGGAAGAGGGGGGGGGGCATACAGGAGACAGCGCAGCTCCCAAGGTGAACCCAGCAGATCGTTGGAATCGGAGAGCAGAACACAAAATGCAAGGGGACATCCCAGGGTTTAAAAAAATAAAAAATAAAAAATAAAAAAGGGGTCTAACCAGGCAGTTGCCTACAGCCGGGCTGAGAGGGAGAACGCTGGTATATTTTTGTGCCTGTTTCTTCCAAGGGGTGTAGTCAACAGGAGCTGCGGGGTGCGCAGTAAAAGGTGTGGCTGGATAGCGACAGTCAATCCTTCCTGAAGGAAGCAATCACGCTATGGGAGCTGACCATGGCCGAAGTCGTTCACTTTAGGAGGGGGATGCCGAAGGCAGGGCTACTGACTGGAAGTCATAACAAGGTACTGGTGTGGCTAGATCACCTGGTTTTAAGGGAGAACGGATTACTGTGACGGATTGGCAGTTTTTTCTAGATCATACAGAACTGATGTAGGCCCTTATATCCCTATTATCCTATTTGAAATTCAGTATTAAGAATCAAAGTCATAATTAATATAATTTTTTATTAAAAAAGAAAACATTGTAATTCAGATTCTTCAGAACGGATAAGGTGAGGGCCCTGAGGGGCCTAATCTCCGAAAAGGGTGGGCTATTAGAGGCATTCCAGTGGGTAATAGATGTAAACGAGTAAAGACTTGTTGGTGAACAGGAACTGAACGGACGCCCCCCAGAATAGGATCACAGCCCAAAAGGGCCTGTATTTTGTCAAAAAAAAAAAAAAAAAAGGCAGCAGCACAGTATAGGATTGATGTCTACCATTGTCATTCTGACACATCCAGCCACCCGCTCCTGGGCCCCAGTACACGCCTAGAACAAGCAGGCCAACCCAGCAAGTGGACTGGCATGCTGCTGGGTGCTGCTGCTGCCAAGCAGCTGTGCTGGTTTCCATCGCCCAGCTGAGCACCACTGGCTGGGGAGACAGAACAGGCGCACCACACATAGCTGGTGGGCACTGGGAAGAGAGGGGGTGAAGTCCTGCACAGGGTCTGGGAGTATGCCAATGGAAGCAATGGAGACAAGAACCAGGGAAGAGGAGTAGAGCCGAGAGACTCAGGAGGAGCATGCTGTCTAGACCCACCCCATGGCTAGTATTCCGACCTGTTCTGCGGCCAGCACGTACACGGACACAGCTGCAACCTTTGGGATCCATCGGGGCCACTGGTGTCTAAGGGATCATCCAAGACGCACATTCTCTCAACGGGCAGTGCGAACAACACACACAAAACACACATGGTTCGCTGGTCGCTTAATGTCAATTTCGCACACAGGCAGCATCAGTCCTCCACACATCCACGATTCCACATGCAACGATCCCACCCTCCCCAATTACGTACTACCAGAGGCCTGGTGACTGCTAATGCCGATGCTAGGGACCCTGCAGAAACTTCATCCTGCCCAGGACCAGGTAACATGAATGTTGTCGACAGAATGTTGTCGAAGTGGCTACAGCTATGATTGCAAACATCCTACCAGCGTAGTCGTCGCTGAATGTGTGCCACCACAGACTGAAGAAGGACTGCAAGCCAATCCGGCACGTGAACTACAAGAAAAAGTGTCGAGTGGTTGAGCTGAATGGAGCGCTAATCACTCGATGATGCCCCCTTCCCTCACCGATTCTCCCTCTTCTGATTCCCCGCCACCGTCACCAGGGCCCTCCCCTGCATCTTCTAATACACCATCCCCTCCATCTACTGCCTGCCCTTCGTCATCGTCATCATCATCATCATCATCAACACATTCCTCGTCAGATCTACCATCACAGGTGCCTGTTCGGTGTAGTTGTTCCCCATCTTCTCCACCCGTCTTCCCATCTCCACCACTGTCTCCCAGACAGCGGCCTCATCTGCACATGGACAATATGATCATCACAACCCTGCCGGAGTCACCACCATGCTTGCAACCTCCGGGAACGACGTCTTTGCTCCCAATACCCAGGAACAGCACATCCCGAGTCTGCCTGTCCATGATATTGTGATGATTTTTTTTGTGCTGAGGACCTGCGCGTTTACCCTACATGAGTTGCAGCCACTGTTCAGCAGTTGCGCGACTAGCAGCGACCCTGACCACAAGTGCGTTGATCAGCTTCCGCTCCCTGCATCTGACTCCCCCTCACTTCTACTTCACTTTGATACGCCCTCAGCGGCCCTCTGATCATTTGATGGAATGGAGTTATCAGGGCCAGAAGTGCCGGACAGAGGATGTTGAGACTGGAATGAACCTCCCCTTGTTGTGTTATCGGCCGAGCCAAAAAATGAGCTCATCATGCAACAGTGAGGCCACAGTGTGCACTATGCCATTTAACCACCAGTCCATCCAAATATAAATTGACGAACCAAAGAATGCATTTTGCCGAGCCTAAAAGTGACGAGTGCGGTGCAGAAAAGGGATGGTCACTGCCAGCCTCTGCCATGACAACTGTGACCTGTTTTTGTCTTGCATTGACACTCCCCCTCCTCTCCCCCCCCCTTATTAGTGCCCGACATCCATTGTGGCCTTGACATCCCATGCTTGAATAACTGTGAGCATGAACCTGCTTTCCTGCTGGCACTCCTACGACATGCCATGAGTCGCCAATGTTTTCAGGAAGCTGTCATGGAGAGTACGTGTCTCTCCTGTGTGGACTATCCCCCCCCCCCCCCCCCCCCCCCCAATCCCATCACCGCCACATCCTCTTCATTCCATGTCCCACATGTAACACTGGACTCCATCTGGCTACACCTGTAATTGGACCTTCTCCATCCTTCCCAGATGAGGAACAGACACAGCAGCTTGAGGTAGAGAACAGACTCTCACATGAATCACCTGCAGTGCACCGTGCTATTGCCGGCAGGGCGAGCAGTGGAAGACCAGATGCTGCAAGAGCTAAACATCCTTACTTTGGATCCAGCCCTGCCTCTGCCATGTCCATAGGCAGGCAAAGTTGGCTGCAGAAACCCAAGAAACTCGCGCAATGCCGCCCTGTGATGATACACCTGGTGTTCGGCTATCATATGATCAGCATGTTGAGAGGATTATGAAGGTATAGCCCATGCAAGTTCTTCTTTGTTTTCATACCTATGATGATTAGCTTTCACATGGTATGTCCTGTTTCTAGACGGGCTGGAACGACAGTGCCTTGTATAATTGCGGTCGCCGTGCCTCGGTGTTCCACGCGAATGGGAGCCACATTGCCTTTGACATCCGTCTGCAGCACACATTCGATGCAACAATCGCAACTAGTTGGGTGCGGTGCTTCCACAGTCCCCAACTGAACCGGTCCTGTCTGGTCTTCAGGGGTAGCCACTTACCACAGGCAACACCCCTGCTCCTCGGCTCATTCTTCTCTGCTACCCAACCCATGACCGGCCTCTTGTGCCAGTCTCTAGCAGTCTGCTCTGCCGGTGAGTCTTGAGGACCCACAGAGATCCTATCTACATTCATGCGACTTGATCAGATCGAAGTTGAAGACCAATGTATGTGACGTCATCACCAATGCCGACCGCCAGCATACACCAGGTACGTTCTCTCTTCTCCCCTCATCACACCTTGACGCCCTCTGCATGCATCTCCTACCCGAAGACCACCATCGCCGTCACCTGCGTCCGCACATGCTCCCTGGCTATGGCCGCAGTGTGCCCACTGCCACCGCAGTGCCCTCTCACCTCTCAGTGCCCGTATGTGCCCCAGCCTGCCAGTGCTAAGCAGCGCTTCATCCAACAACGCAGCACCGTGAATGCATTGCCTTGGCAGGCCAGAATGTCGTGCCCAGGGGGCACACACTTTCCTTTATGGAAAGTGTGCTTGCTGCTGGCTAGCCTGGCCAGGCATGTGGAGGCTTAGTAGCTTCAGTCTGGCCCAGGTGTCTGCGCCCAGGCCCAGTTTCAGATACTGGCCTGGGCCTCGTGCAGTTAGGCACGTTCAGGCAGCCACCCAGCCTCCAAGTGTTCGCAGCATTCCCATTGGCTTGCGGTGCATGTGTGACGACAATGCTTCGACCTCACACAGCATGTTTCCAGGGTGCAACCACCTGAGCCCTGGGCTCAACTTGGCATCGCAGCCCTTTCTTCTGGAAGGAGCCTGAAGGCTGACGTTGCACTGTAACCAACTGGCGTGCTGCAACTGTCTGATACCCCACATGAAAAATGTCGAAAGTAGGCCTCACGTGGATATTCAGGCCCGCCTTCACTTAGGGCGGGCACAAGGTTGCTGGGGGCCGCAGCCCAGAACACTTGCATGTCTGATAAGGGCCCCGCGAGGGCTCATTCCCCGCATTATAGCGGAACTTCAAAAAATGAAAGAAAACATATAGGGGTGTAGATCTCTCGAAAAGATCTACACGACTGCAACCCTATATCCTTTTTTTTTTTTTTTTTTTTTTTTTTAAAACAGGGCCTTATGGTCCTAGCTCCTTCTATTCTGGGGAGCGACAGTCCGGTTCCTATTCCACCGGCAAGTCAAAATAAACATTACATCGATGGAAAACTCACGCACGCTTCCTTCCGTCCGGCCGAAGGACCCCTGAACAGCATTGATTACTCCACCGCAGTGGAGGATTGACTGTCAKCTTGCCCTGACCCTCTCTTCCCTCTCAGACCTGGACTCCAGATCTGTCGGATAACGCCTTTGACCCTAGGAAGAGTTCATCCGTTGTCCATGCCGACCTGTTCCTTCCTCACACTCCTCCCTACCCCCTGGGATGAGCGACCAAAAGGCCTTGAACCCTAAACCCTCGACCTGTGCTCCTCTCCTCTGAAAAGTCAACCTTGGGAGCTGGCTAGACTTCGTTTACTTYCRGACCACTGTKACCMAACCTACTCAGCAACCCCCGTTCATATTCCTTTTGTTGCTTCTGTCTACACCCTAACCCCTAAACCCTCAGCTGCAATACTGTGGAGATTGTCATCTGTTTCCTTGTCTTTTCCTGTGATGCCTCTCAGTGTCTCCATCAGAGACCCTGTCAGATGCACTTGAACGCAGGAAACACAGAGAGAAGTTTACTGTATATCTTGATCATTGTAACCCTGGTTTCATAAGTGTGCTTCCTGGTCGTCTGTCAGGACTATGCTCTAAGCCGATCAACGTGTAGCCCTCTCTTGCCTTCTTGTCCAGATAAATATACAGAGAGGACTCAGGGACCTCCACAATTGGTATCCACCTCTCTGCGGTCACATCTTTCTTCTCAGCTCTGTTCCCTGGATCTGCCAGTCTTCTGGAGGCGTAGCTGTCAGCTTGCACTGCTTATACCCTTTCCTCTCGGCTTGTGTTGCCGGTGTCCCTTTCATTTTTTCCTCTTCCACTCGCCTCGCTCTGATGGGGCTCCTTCTGACTTTGTCCTGCTGAACCTCACCTTCTTCTGGCCGAGTATTTCTGTATCTGCCATCTGTCAGGGGTTTCGGCTTGCAACGAAGACTTCAGTTGTGTCTGCTTCTTCTCTCGGCGTTTAGTCTGGCCTTCCGTGATTCCACCGCTTCTTCCTTTACAGATGACTCGTAGTGACTCCCTCCATTATGGTTCCCTCGCCGCAGATTAGTGGTGTTAGTCAGGGGGGGAGGTGGTAAGAGGTTATCTGGGGAGGGGATGTGGAGGACGGGGGCGCACGGCTTGGTGGTCTCTGTCCGTTTCTGGTCTGTATAAACCCGCTTTTTAATCTGAATGGTACCTTTTCGCTTCGTCCCTTCCCTGTGTTCTTTCTCTTGTTAATCCCAATTTTTGAATTGTAACCAGCCCTTCTCTATTTTTGCCATACCATTCCCGTTAAGCCAGATTTTCTCAAATTTTTTCTGACTCAGATCTCGCTTCTCTGGTTGGATTATTTTCTGTTGTTCTTTTTGTTCTCTACTCCACCGAGCTCTTATCTCTATTTGTATTATGGACTTGACTTCTGTCCACCTCTCCTCCAAGCTGGGAAATTGATTATCTAACGTGCCCTTGCATCTTGCTTTCCATATTACCCAGAGAGTCGCTCTCCTCCACAGGTCCGCTAAGGGTATTACCTCTTCTTCCAAATCGTTGTCTACGATCCTCCCCGCCAATAGGTAAACCTTGTTGGAAGGAAAGGTATGTCCTGTTAATTTGACCCAGAGCGCGTTTGTTCTATCCCACAGTTCTTGAGCTCGCTGACAGAGAATGAGGCAATGCGTCAATGACTCTTCCCCGCCTTCATTGCACACTTTGCACCACGCCGATTGTTGCTGGGGATCCTCTTGCTTTCTTCTTTTACTCAACCATTGATTGACCGGTACTGCCCAGTAAAGTATGAGCCATTGTAGGCTACTGATCCTTGCTGGCCTTATGGTAGTATACTTGCTCCATGGGATTCTGCTTGTCCATCCTGCATTTTCTCCCAAATTTTTCTTCCATCTATCTGTTATTATCGGTTGAGGAGCCTTTGTGTTGTTTCTTAGTTTATAACCCACTTTGGTTTCGTAGTCGTAAAGTGGTGTGAGCTTTTTAGCTCTTCCTGCGCTGCCTGGGGTGTACCAACCCCATTCTGCGGGGCCCATTTCTAGGTCTTTAATGTCTTGGTCTGGCCTGAAGATCCAGATTTCCTTTTGCTCCTGTTCATAGTTTAGGGTCTTTTTACGGTTGATTTTGGGTGAGCAGATTCTGACTTTTCTTAGATCTTTAAGTTCGATTGTTGTCCTTTGTTCTATTGCTTTTCCGGGTTTTACCCATGTTTTGTGCGTATCTATTAGTTCAAAGGATTCAAACTCTGCCTTCTCTTCTTCTGTGTTCAGTACCTTAATCAACTTGTATCCTTCTAGTGGGGGGTTTGGTCCCCTTTTTGTAGCCCAATCGCCTACGCTCCACTTGGACTTGGATTTTAAGAGCAGTTCCCATCTCAAGGGGACGCTTTCTAACAACCTTTCCAAATGGTCTTTTAAGTTGTGGACTCCTTTGAGTTTGGTTCTTAGTTCTTGAGCAGTGATCCATCTGTTCTTTTCTCTGTTCCATAAGTCTTCCACCTTCCAGACTCCATTGCCCATCCACTTTCTCCAATGTTTGCCTTTAGAATTCAGGGTCCAGGGTTTGTCATTTTGGTCTTTTAAGAGGGGGTTTCCGAAAAGGGGTTGTCTCAAGACTTCCTCTCTAATTTGTGGGGTTCTTATTTTCTGTGGGAAACAGTCCCTCCAGTGTTTTATCAAGGAGGCCCAGTGATTGCTGGGTGGATCTTTCCCTTCCATCTGTCTCCTTCTATCCTTTCGTGCCGGGGACCAAGCGGGGTTGAGTATGTTTTTTGCCTATTTTTTGCCCGAGAAAAAAGGTATCCCGAGGTCCCGGTGAACTGCGGTAAACGGACGGTTCAACGCTGTTTCACCGCAGTTTCAACGGCCGTTGAAAGATTCAACGTGGGACCCGCGTTGAAATCACTTCCAGCTACTCGGAAGATGCTGGGCGCTGCTGCTCACCTTTGGTAGTGTTCTTATACTTGTGACTGTTGCTTCTGGTATCCCATCCCTCGCTTGCGCCAAATTCAAAGATAAGACAGTATTAAGACTGTAGCTTCGGGACATCCGTTAAAATTGGAACGATACAGAGAAGATTAGCATGGCCCCTGCGCGAGGATGACACACATCAATCGAGAAATAGTCCAAATTATTATAAAAAAAAAAAAAAAAAAGACTGGATTCGGAATGCTCAGAGCGAGCACAGCTTGGGCACAGCGGCTTTTTTTTCTTTTCGTGTCTCTCTTGACCCACGTTTCATCGGCTTGGGTGGGTTTTGCCTTCCGTCTCACATGAAGCAATCCTCGTTCTTTTTCTTTTTTTTTGGCTGTTTCTTTTGCTCGTGATGACGCCAGGGTGGTGCTTTCAGATGCAGCAACATCATGGCTTGCCTGGGCAGATCTGCTTGTGCCACTCAAGGAAGCTGAGAAACTGAGCCCTGTGAAACAAAATACCAATGACGGTGTGAGACAAAGATGCGCTCGTCTACAGGAAATATGCTATTCCGCGGTTGATGCTCCGACGACAGGGGAGAAGGTTTGAAAAACACTCCTGACCTATGTTTCTTTTTTCTTGTTTTTCCCCCCCCCTGAATCCTGATAGAACAGTTTCTTATGGTCCTGGCTCCTTGTCCATCCCCGGGTGTGTCAGTCCGGTCCCATTCCATCGGCAAGTGAGTAATTAATGCAAGAAATGACCCACTCGACACTTCCTTCTGTCTAGGCTGAAGGACTCCTGACCAGCATTGATTACTCGACGAAGGAGGATCGACTGTTAGCCCCATCTATTCTGGGAGGCAGCAGGCCGGTTGCTTATCACCTCCACGAATGACCAAGTCACGTAATCAATGTTGATGGCTATTGCGGACCAAACAGATCTTGCTCTGAGACTGCTCTCTCGGGATCATCAGGGAATGGCTGTCTCTTATACACATCTAG